AAGGAAAAAAGTTTAAACTGAGTTAAAACAGAACTTTCCAGACTTAGCTGACCACTCATATCTGGCGCATTGGTGAACAATCCTGGACTCACATTCAGCAGCACTGGTCTGGAATCTGCTTCTCTCACTTGCTACCTCATTCCTTGTACCCCTACTTCCTTCCTGACGGAACTCAAGATAGAACTCTTGCATCTTAGTCTCCAGCTCCCACTCTTTCTGCATGCCCTTTGCTTGAGTTCTTGTGTTAAAAGCAAACACTATCTCCTTAGAGAGCTTTAGAAGGCACAAACTGAAGGTTAGGGCCCTGGGGACTTCACTGAGGAAAATATTTGCCATGTTAATGGCAGGAATATTACCGTTACTTACACATATACCCAAACTTCAGAGAGACCTGCTGGAGAGGCTTATTTACACAGCCCAACTAATGTGTACATTGTGTGTATGTGTGTGGTGCTGGGAACAGAGCCCAGGGCCTGGTGTACACTTAGCCAGCACTCTACCTACCACTGAGCTATGCTGTCGGGTGTTGAATATTTTTTAAAAATTAGTAATTGTATTTTCTAGAACTTTCTGTAATCAGAATGTAATGTCTATGTAGTCTTTAAGAGTTCAGTTTGAATTTGTAACCAATTCTAATTATGGATCAGTATATAGGTAGTGTCAATTATTCTAAGATGCCATCTTACTGGTTTTGTGTAAAGATTTATAGCTCATGGAACTTCAAAATTAATTTAGAGTCAAAGCATAAAGACAATCCCTTGTAGCCTGCTTTACTTATTCATTTTTGATAAAGCTATTTTTCATAAATAGCAATTATTTTTCTGTTCAGCAGGTTCAAGGCTAGCAATTTTCTTAATCATATCTGTGTGCCCAATCCCTATAAAAAAGTCTTGTCATATGGTAGGAATTTGATAAATGTTAAATGTGCCAAATTATCTCAGTCCTAAATACATAGAAATGAATGAAATTTTACTGCATCAGAAGTCTTGTTAAGTTTATATTTTATCTTAGATTACAAGTTGCCTTACTATTTACTATTTATCAGATTGAGAAGCCATTAAATTTTACATTCAGAAATTTCCAACAATGTGTAAGTTATTGATCACTTTGTTAAATTACTGGACATTAGAATACAACCAGGTTTGGTCTCATGAAAGTAACCTGAAATCGAGAAAAGCACATGGCTTGCATAAATTTTCATCTTGTATTAGAAATTACAAAGGATTGTTCTAGTGCTTTCAAGAGATGTCAGCTAGAAAGCAAGCTACCCAATAGACTTGGGGAGGTACAATTAAAGGTAGACAAGTTATCAGGAGACCTCTTTGTGGATAAATGTTGGAATCAAAGCAGGTCCAACCTGCATGTTTTATGAGTTTAATCATTAAGATCTTAATGATGAAAAACACATCCAAAGGAAATACTTAGTTCTGAGGTTGTAGCTCAGGAATAGAGTAATTGAACAGTAGCACCAGCCCTTAGTCTGTATCCTCAGCATGCAGCCCCCCCCCCAAAAAAAAAAAAGAAAAATGAAGCAGTTGGAAATCTCAGACCTAAGGGTTCATAGGAGAGACTAAGGGAATGTTCTAGCTAGACCTTAGGAAAGTCATTCATCTCTGTTCCTCATGTTCACTATTAATTTCTTCTTCATTCAAATCAATACTGACAAATCTAATTTCTATCACTATGCATGAGAAGAAATTTAAGCAAGTTATATACTCCTCTCACAAACATTTAAATAATATTTAGTTTTAAAATAGTCTTGTCTACCTAAACTATAATTTTTATAAGTGGGAAATATGCTTTGAAATAAAAAAGCAATATACAACAACTATGTCTTTAATATGCAAAAATAATGTTTTACAACCAATTGCTAAAAACTACACAGGTATACATCAACACATGAAAGATAGATTTGGTACTAATGTTTTGTTTAAATTCTTTTAAAAATAAAACAGGAATAATAACTGGGTCACATTACAGCCTTTATTTTTGCCTTGGAATAAAAAAAACATAAAATAGTGTCCATAATTTCATCATTTTTCAGTCTTATATTTCAAAATTCAGCTTTGATAGGGCTGGCCAGAAGAGATTTTAATAGACAGTTAATAATCATCAAGGCAGATATCCAGGGAATGATAATAAATTTTAGCATTTTTGCCAATTAAAAACAGCAGCCTGTGATGATCAACCAGTGAGTGCTACTGAGTGCCACAACATGCAAAAAAAATGACTGAGATGCTAGCACAACACTGCATGGCAAGTGGTGTTCACTAAGGAGTACCCAGACAACTCCTCCATGGCAGACAAGGATGCATAAAGAAAGTTATGAAGATGGACAAGAACAATTGTGGGGCATTTGATTTTGTGAATTTAAAAACTGAATTTCTCTCTAAGAACAAAAGTACCACCTTGGGCTTAGCAAGTTTGTGAAGATGGTCCTGCCCTGTCCTTGGGTTTTTCACTTGTAGCTGAAACCTTCTTCCCACAATGGCTTATTGTGCACATTACAAAATCCTCAGAGTCTTCAAATTCCAAGTGACAGGTGTTTTTAAGCACACACGAGAATTGAACATTCCTCATTACTCTTACTATAATTTGCTTTTGCAACCTCCTCTGATAGTTTTAGTCATCTTGACAATAGCAAGTCATCAAGACAATGCAATGATTTTACAAAGAGAAAGAATGACAGTTTCCCTTCTACTTTTCAAACATGTTTTATAATACATTGTGAGATTGGATTTGCAGAATAGCTGGAAGGGAAATCAGTTCTTAGAGAGTGACACTCTATAATAAAGAACACCTACACTTGAACAACACACTCATCCGAAAGTATTCAATGTTGTTATTACTACCGTTAGGATCTGTCCCAGAGTGATTTTCTGACAAGAGAAAATACAGCTTTGTTTAGAATAAAGCGACAATGTCAGTAAAACAAGGACTAAAGCATGAAGATCTGTGGATTTTATGTTATTCACACTTGTTTTGCTTTGTTATTTCTTGCCTTCACTAATGAGACTGGAGGCCTATCAGTGACTCATTTACCTGATCAATATTTACTATAGCCCTACTATGCATCAGTATTGCCTTTGGTGCTAATGACAGTCATGGTCAAAACAGTTGCCTTCATGATATATATACAGCTAAACAATTCCTTCAATAAATAAATACAGAATTATATACTGTGAATTCAAAGACAGAGCAATACTAGCTTCCAAGACACAAACACAGGAAAGGCATTTAGACTGAAACGCCTCAGTGGATCATGGGCCACTAAGGATATCAACAAATTTGTCAGATGAAGAGCTAGGAAAGACCACTTCAGAAGGCATGGCCTCTAAGAAGTTCTTGGGCATCACATTCCAAACTCCAAAACAAAGCAGTAGGCCCAAATGCCATGAGGAATGAAAAGCAGAGTGTGAGCCCATGGTCAAATGAGTGACAGCTGATTTTCTCCTGAGAGCACTGGGGAGTTACTGATGGAGATGAAGCAGAAGATTGAAACATTGCTTCCAGATAAACTGTGTCTACAGTCTAAAAAAATGGATTGGGACAGTTTCAGAGCCCAAACTCTCCAGCTGATTTTCCAATCCTATAAAAGGAAACTTTCACACCTTCCACTCTCTTTCCAAATAAGCAGTACCCACCTCATAGCACAAATGGCCATTCTGACATTGCTTCCTCACCTCAGTGCCTTGCCCAGCTTTGGTAAATATGCCTGTTACCTGTATCTTTACTAGTTAAATTCTGAAATAGGGGGCTGGAGAGATGGGTCAGCAGTAAAGAGCACTTGCACCCATATAGCAGCTCATGCTGTTGGTAACTGCTGTTCCAGGGGATCTGATGCCCTCTCTGGTCTCTACAGGCACCAGATATACAGACACACATACAGGCTAGGCAGTCATACACATAACAAAGATAAATACATCTTGTAAAAGAAGTCTTTAAAAAACATCAACATGAAAAAGGTAATCCAAATCTTAGTCCAGTTCCCCTTAAAGGCCTCATCCTTCTACAAATCCTGTGTCACTCAACAATGAAATTCTGGCTAGCAAGAAGGAAATCCTAGTTTAAAAAAAAAAAAAAGTGACATTGGTTGTAAACACTATGCTCCAGGGTCAGCTGTCTGACAAGACTTCTCTGTATACAGTTCCCCAAGACCACAGACACACACCTAAGTCCTAGGCTGAAAACCATCAGTGAAGAACACATCCCTTTTATATTTTTAAATGTAAAGAATTTGATTTAAAAGAAACTTGCAAGTATATTTTATGGTACTACTATAAAAACTTATTTGTACACACATACAGACAAACCCACAAAATTTGTAACTAGCCGGTTTGTCTGTTACCTCACCTTTAATATCTCCTTATTGTGCACAAAGGCATGAATATGTGTTTAAGAAAAAAACACAGGAAATCCAATACACGTCAAGAATAAAGACCAATCAGATCCTGGGAAGGTAAATCAGACTTAAATCTTCTCCTCAACTGCCCTAGAAATGAGCCATAGTTCTACCTACGAAGCAACTAGATTAACTTAGACACAGTCTCTTATATTTTCATCTGTTATCTGTGTTCTACCTACTTGCAGAAGGAACTACGGCTTCCTTTAAATGAGAGTGTTCAGTATCTCGCACCTGCCAACTGCCTGGTTTGCTCCTCCCTACGTGCTCATAGAGAGATAATGGAAGCTCACTGAGTACGAACTTGCCACTCTGTTGTGATTCTACCATCCAGTGCAGATGGTCCCAAGTCAGTGCATATATAATATGATCCTGGGCTCGGAAATACTATTTTGTCTGAAAATAAGGTACAATAAAGCAGGATTTCTCTAGCTTTGATAACATTTGACCACTCCCATAAAATTATCTTAGAAATAACTTTATTGAAATTATCTCAAGTGTAGTCCATGTTGGCACCTTAGGAAATGGTGACTAAGTGCCACATGAAATCAGCTATGCTACACACTCTGATGTCCTTTAAGGGCATCTTCTTACCCACCTTGATCTCTTTCATGCCATGTTCGACTTCCAGCAGCTGGTGAATTTGGAGAGGGGTAAAAATCTCCTGTAGGACTTGGCTCCATATTTTCATCTATGGATATAGTTTTGGGTCTTTTGCTGTTAAAATATAATAATAATAATGGCATTAACAATATTTCAGGAAAGATGTGTAGCATTCTCCAAAAAAAAAAATCTTGATTAAAAAAACTTCTATAAATCCAAGTTAAAGTGATAGTTTGAAAGAATGGTGAGCATTCAAGACAGCCACAGGAATAGTGAATATTTCCAGTACCATATACTACCAATCATTTATATATACCACCTATCCCTATCCCTACCTAACAAAAAATGTTTGGTACATTTACTTTTTCAGAGAAACTTCAGTCATTGTAAGGGAACTTTCAATATGTCTCTTCTGCTAACATTAAAAGTTTGTAAAGATATACTGGTTCATCTTACGTTTTTGATATTAATACTGTTCACTCCACAGCATTTGCCACAGACAATGCCATGCTTTGCTGTTAATTGGGAGATAAGGCAACGGAACTGGGCAATGAAACAGCTTCAGAAACTCCACATTTTGACCAAGTCATTTACTAGATCCATTAGCAGGTTGCTTGCCCTTTCTAAGCTCAGCTAATCACCTATAAGGTGGAAATAATAAAACCTAGTTTAAAGGGTTTGGTGGGGAAGATGAAGTGAGCTAATAACCGTAAAGCTCTCAGTTAAATGGCTTGCAGTTTGAAGATACTTATTAAATATTAATTGTTAGTGTTGACCTTGTAATTATTAACATGAAGACCGCTGCTAGAACTTTACTAGTTGTAAGTATTCCATGTTCTTTAACTTTTCCTTAAAGAAACTGGGCTACTGGTCCTTTATTCATAGGATCAACCATGAAAAATGATTATTGCCAAATCAAATGGTATGGTTTTAGAAAATATTTTGAACGGAAAAAATATGACTTACTTTATTACAAAGAAAAGTAAGAATCTACAGCAAAGATTAAAACTATTTTATGACATGAATGATACTTTAATACTCTGATTCTGAAATGAATTCAATGCCTTTTACTTACAAAACTCTTACCTGTACCTATGTTCTTATGCAACAACCACAAAATACTACCAGAGTTAACTTTATTCACTGTTACAAATGTAATGTCACCAAAGTTTGAAACTGTAGATTACCTCAAAAACTGCATGCAAACCACCCCCCATTTTAAACAAATAGGCAGACAAATCTGGAGAAATTCAGTGGCTTTTCCCAGGACAAGTGAACAGAAGGAGCCACACCAGGAGGAAGATCTTCCATCCAAGTGTAGCTCCCTGCCTAAAGCCTTGAAGCCTGTGCACATTTCAGTGTATTTGGAGATACACTCTGGTTAATTGTTGGCTGATGATTCCTGGAGTAGTGACATGACTGAGTAGGACAATTTCTCCCCATGCTAAAGCTGAGCAAAAATGATATTATTTCTGTAGTCTACAAAAGTATCCACATTTAGTGCTTCTGCATATTTTTAAAATTCTCCCTTTAATATAATTCTCTTCCACTATGAGTCAGCAGCAGTATGCAAAAAAAAAAAATGGAGAAAAAATATTTCCACAGGGAGCAACAGAGAAATGTCTTTAAGCTCTGCTTATTTTGAAGGACAAAGGTTGGCCATGACGAAAGACCTGTGCTGACAACATACGGATCCAATGGAGGAAATTTAAAAATCCTAATTCACAGTTTAAATTTAGAAAAACTAAAGTACTTTTAAGTCCTCAACATATCAGAGATAATTTCAGTGATAATAAACCAAACTATCTTGATATACAATCTAATTACATGAAAATACAGTTGGGCCATAAATGTTATAAAATAGGCTTTAGTTTATAAACATAAATAAATAAAACACAACTATTCAAAGACAATTAGCTGTTGTTACTGAAAAGAACCTAGAAAAATATTTTTCCCAGATTGTGTTGTCTTTTATTTTTAAAAATTAACATAATGCATTTTTTGGAATTTGTATACATTCCTATGCTAGTCTGTGAATACATTGAATGCTCTAGAAATGAGATAGGTCTTCATGTGTGAAAAGCACAACTCAAAAAAGGGGAAAAAAACACATCTATAACACTTATCTTGCATGGACATTACAAGGATAGAGAGAAAGCAAGCCTGTGAGCAGAGAACTGAAAGTCAGGGAAATTCATTCTCCATCTTCTCCAGCACAGTGTGGCTAAGCCAGTCTCAGAGCAGCTGAGGCTTTTGTTGATACCAGGAAAGTGAACTGATTTCCTCAGAAAAACTCAAGTAATTGAATACTGCAGTCTGGAATCAAGCTTTGATTTTAAGACTGGGGGGTGACATTTTTTCATATTTCATTATCTCAAGTGCAGATGTGGAATTACAGTGAAGGTCACCAGGGTGCACTAACTACCAAAGAGGGTCACTGCAGCAATGCTACCTGCATGGATTTTAAGGTTTTTTTAAAGGTTTATTTATTTACATGTGTGTATGCAAGTTTTGCCTATATGTGTACCATGTGTATGCCTAGTGTCTATTTCCTGGAACTGGAGTTTCCATATGGTTGGGAGCCATCATATGGGTGCTGGGAATGGAACCCAGGTCCTCTGTGAGAGCAACAAGTGCTCTTAAGTATTGAGTCATCATTCTAACTTCCAGTATCACTTTATTTATTATTATTATTATTATTATTATTATTATTATTATTATTATTTGACAGGGTTTCTCTGTGGCTTTGGAGGCTGTCCTGGAACTAGCTCTTGTAGACCAGGCTGGTCTGGAACTCACAGAGATCTGCCTGCCTCTGCCTCCAAAGTTCCATCACTTTTAAAGTTGCCAAAATATTAACTTGCAGAATATTTCATGCCACAAGACAAGATCTCATTAATATAGTTTCATAGTCCATTCCCTTGTGCCCCCCAAAAGACTTTAAATGGGCTTTGAACAGCAATTACATTCAATACAAGACTATCAAAACAAGACTATCAAAACAATTGATTCAGGCAAAAATTCCAAGTCTGTGAATTATCAGTGAAATACGCACTTCCCGTCTGTCTGCATAAAGGGTGAAAACATGGGCAGCACCACTGTCCTTACCTGCTTGGTGGAGAAGACAGCGACCTCTGCAGGTTCACACCAGAATTCATGTCATGATAGTATGGCTGGCTGGGGATTTCTCCAATTGGGAAGTTGACTCCAGTTCCCTGGGTTATGGGTGCTGAGGAATAAAAATTTTTTAAAGAAATGTTATAAGTGCTATTCATGGTTATCTCCATTCAGATATAAAACCACTAATTTTTTCTTGGCTCTTGGAAAGAGCTGTCTTTACCTGCACATGTGATACTCTTTTATGCTATAAGTAAGACCCCAACTCCTCAAGTCAAGTTTGGGAATTCCAGACACTAGTTTCTAGGCTACCACTTCCTCTCCTCACACTATCCAATATATATATGGTTGACAGTTAACAAGGTCTGGTGTAATACACCTGTAATTCCAGCACTAGGGAGACGGAGGCAGGAGAATAGAGAAGTCAAGGCAAGACTGGGCTATGTAGCAAGTATGAGGCCAGTATGATGTACATAATGATACTATGTCTCAAAATAAACAAACATAAAACCACAATGTGTATAATTTGACTTAAGTAAATCTACAATTCGGCAGGAATGAATAAAGCTTATGAATATGAAATAAAACCCAAAGTGCTTTGCAAATCTACATTTAGAAAGGCTATAAGTGAATGTTCATTGAACCTCCTAGCCATATATGGAGTCTAAAGATAAAAAGACTTTCAGTCCAAACCCTCTGCCACTTATAGCAGATGTGTCTCAGTCTCCAAACAATAAGATGGAAACCTAGCAATAAGGTGATGTGGGAATAAAAGGAATAGGAGTAGTGAAAGCCCAGCATCATGCCTACTAAACAATGTGTTAATCAGATGTGAGCTCCCTCCCTTTGTTTACTATCTTCCTCTGGTGAAATGGAGTAGTTGGTAAAACAGAAGAGTTTTTTTTTTTTTTTTTAATGTGATAAAAGCAGACAAAAACAAATGAACCCAATTGATGGAAGTTTATTCTTTTAAAAGCTATTGGCTGGGGACTGAGAAGATAGTTCAGTGGATAAAGTCCATGCCATGCAAGCAAGAATATCTGAGTTTGGATGCTCAGCATCCATATAAACTGAAGTGTGGCAGCATGCACCCATGCTGGAGCATGGAAAGGAGACCTCAGGGGCTCCCTGACCAGCCAAGTCCAATGACAGATACTACCTCAAAACATAAGGTGAAGAATGACAGAAGATTCCATGTTGGCCTATGGCCTCTTTGTCAGTGTATTCGCACACATGTACACGCGCGCGCGCGCGCGCGCACGCACACACACACACACACACGCACACACACACACACACACGCACACACACACACACACACGCACACACACACACACACACGCACACACACACACACACACACACACAAGAAAAAAAGAAGGAAGGAAGGAAGGAAGGAAGGAAGGAAGGAAGGAAGGAAGGGACAATAGAATGAAGGAAGGAAGAAAGGCTATGCCTGTGCCTATTACAAGCAGGCATTTGCACTGAATACAAAACATTCTCAGATACATCTGCCTTCAATAAACATACAGTGCAGTATGTAGAGCATAAGAAACACTTGTACAAACATAAAAATACCCTAGCAATGTAGATAGCAGTAAAACTGCCCCAGTGAGTAGCATAACAAGTACATTCTGTAGGTTTTGCAGAGAGAAAGAATAGTAGTGACTTGAATGGTCAAAAACAAAAACAAAACCAATTAAAAAAAGCCGTATCTAGCAGTGGACTTTGGAAAAGGAGCAAGATACTAAAGGAAGACTTTTTTCCCAACTGGTGGGACTGTAGGAGTAAAGTCAAGTGTAAAAACAACACACAAAGTGAAGAACTAGGCAGCCAGTGTCAAGGGGCAGTGTGTGAGGCCAGCTGAACCCTCAAACCTTCAGTAGTTCTATGGAAAGTGTACTGGGTAGGGACCTGCTGACAGCTTTCTCAAGACCTTGAAATCCACTCGAACACACAATTTGCTTTGCCACAACCTCTCCTAACTGCCCTCAGCTGAATGCAGGACTCCAAATGATTACTAATTTTCCAGAGTTTTCGCTCATCCAGAGCTTTTAATACCATTAAAGTGTGTGTTTATCAATTTGATTGGATTTTAATATCTGTCAGGCCAAGATTATCTTCAAATGTTCTTAGGAAAGTACGGTTAAAAGGCATGTGTTTTGCTGCAGAGAACCAAGCAAAGACTACATTGAGAAGATCTTTCCCTCTATTAAATCACAGCAGGTCTACATACACAGGAAGAGTCTCAGCTCTAAACTGCCGGAGCCCCTGCCTTCTGCTAAGCGGTTAATTGTTACCTTTAAATTATCAGATATACTTAAACCTTCTTTATACAGGAAATATTCTTATGCTAAATGTAAAGGCTATTTGAATTATTTAGACTGGTATAGTACTGATGTTCATTGTGGCCTGAAGTATGCCAGAGGTACACAAATGTAGAATTTCTTCCCTCACAGTAGCCACATGCCTTAAAATTTATTTGTAGAACCTTGGCCTATGTGACATGGGAAGCAGGGAATGTGTTAGAAGTAGGTAGTTGATTGTCTCAGGGAATGTGAACAATCTGCCTGCCTCCTACAACAGAGAGGTATCCAGTTCAGACTGGAGTAACTCCCTCCTGTGGAGCCCAGGTATATGAGCTACGTCACTAGTCTTCTGGTCACACTCTTACCTAATCCAGTAATCTGTCAGAAGAGACAAGTTACCTGAAGTCTCTAGTGTTTGTGTGTATCACTTGCCACTAAACATACTCTTTGTTATGACTACTTCAGAAATCTGAGTTATTTGACAATGCATGGATTTTTTTTTTAAAAAATTGACTAGAATTTTACAGGTTGTATCTTTTGGAAACATTTTTTAAAGGTATTAAGATTGTAAAATACATAGGCAAGTTTCTTTCTATTGGATATAGATAGCTTAATCACTACTATTTGTATGCCATAAGCATGCTGGGTATAGTATGCAGTAAAATGGTAATGAAAAAAAAAAAAAAAACCCGTCAGAGTCAGGGATTTTGATTCATGTCTTTGATTCCAGCACTCCACTAAGGAGGCAAATGCAGGTGTCTCTCTATAATTTCAAAGACAGCCTGGTCTACAGAGTGAGTCCACGTTAGTCAGGGATTCATGGTGGGGCCCAGTCTAAACACTGAAAAACTTAGTCTGCATTCTGAGTAAATGGAAGGTTATTGAAAATAAAGTAAATTAATAATAAACATGAACAAAAACTTCCAACAGCACACAACTTCCTGAGCAACACTGGAGCATTTGAGAAGAGCAAGGCTGCCAGATCTCCCTGCTACTAAGCCTCCAGAAAAACCCACAGCAGATGCGAACATGTCTCTTAGCACCTCTTCCAGACAGAGCTCCAAGAAAGCCAAAGTCTGCAAAAGGACATTGGCAGTGCTAATGCCCTACTAGGAGCCATGCACCGAAGAACCTTGGCTTCCACAGGTTCTAAGAGGCAAGAAGCTGTCCTTGACCAACTTTTACATTGGAGAAAATATCATTCAACAAAGTTATCACTATCCTTAAACTGAATGGCTTCATTAGCTAAAGTCAACATGTACATTAGTAGGTCACATGACAGTAAATGCTAGAGGATGGAACCAGGGGCAGGTCATGAATCAAGAAGCCAGCGCCTGTAACACTCAGCATAAGGTTTGTGTAGAAGCTTGACTTAACAAACCCCAATTTCATAAACAATGAAGTTCAACTGTGTAAACAAGATTGTAGTATGAATATATTAAAACGCTTAGGAGAATAGGACTTGCAAGCATCTCGGAGACATCTATTTACATATGGAGGAGAAAGTAAATGTTTGCTGAATAAATTAACTAAGGAATGAATATGGATAATTAATGTACTAATTACAAATCAGTAATGTTTGTTATGACACATAACTTAAAAACCTCTAAGAAATGACAGTATAAATTAAGAATAAATGAATGAAACATGTTAAAATTTACCTTGTTTCTGAAATGTTATGAGAAGGTACTTTTAATTTACATTTTATGTTTGAAATTTCAATTTTTCAAGATATCTTTCTGGGCTCTTGAAGGTTCCAAAGTGGCTGCCACTTGACAGTACTCAACATAGTGTTAACTATAATGGGGTATTTGTGAATCATTTCTGAAGGATGGCACTACTGGCCTTCTCAGAAGAAGGTACAAAATCCATTGTGGAGCTTTCAAAATGGTCTAGGTGGAAAAAATAGTTTCCTATACTCTGTGGCTTCACAATTCAGCCTCTCTGCTGAAGAACAACTTCAAATACCACCTTCCTGGGAAGAGGGGGTCTGGAAAAGCACATGTGGCCTTGGCTAATGGTCTATTCCATAGGAGCCTCTTGCAAAGTACATACATATTCCAGAGCTATTGGGATATACATATTTAACAGCCATCCCTGATTCTGCTTCTGAGTAGATGAGCCCACAACACCTTTTTCTCCTCTGAATTCTGGCAGAAGAGACAAGGTACAAAAGGTTTTGAGTGTTCATGTATCAATCTCTGATAAATGGGCTTTTTGTTTTGTTTTTGTCCTGGAAAGTTCAGAAATCTGAGTTACTGGGAACTATGGTTCAAAAGACAGTCATCTGGGAGCTTGGAGACAGTTCCTGAACAGGTTTCTACAGCTACTTGGTTAGTCTTACCCTGTTAGCTCACTATCTCTGCTCTTTACAGTTGGCTGTGGCCCTCATTCATAAGCTCTGGAGTTGACACACATGAAAAAGCAGGTTCTGTTGTTTTTGTTTGAGTTTTGCTTGTTTTGAGACAAGGCCTTACCATGCACCCTTGGCTGGCCTGGAATTAACTAAGTAGCCCAGATGGCCTCAAACTTGTTGCAATCATCCTGCCTCTGACTCTGGAGTGCTGAGACTGCAGATGTGTGCATAAGAGGACTGGTGATAAACACAAAAAAAGCACTGAAGTATCACCTGAATATCTTCAGTGACATCAGTTCTAGACCACAGCACTTTCTATCAACACATGAAGTAAAAACACAGCCCTCAAAGTGACTTGTGCCATCTAAATCAGAGATGGAGTTGGGAAGGAGAAGCCACCTCCTTTCACATCTTCAGTGCACTAATACGTGGCACCTTAGATGTATTTGCTCATACTAGCAACAAAACAAGAGCTGGTTAATCAATGAAGCTTCGTCTTGACTGAAGTGGCCAGCCAGGTGAGTTTACCCCAGAAAAACCCAAGCCAGCTAGCCAAGAATGGCATCTCAGGTGAGGTAGCAGATGTAGACAATCGGACATTGTTTGGGATAACAATGCATTCTATCTATATCCAAGTACAATCTGCAAAGTTAATTTCTGCATTCCTTCACACAGTGCATGTGAGAGTGTGTATCCTGTATATCGCCAACCCCCCACCAAAATGTTATAACTGAAAAAGCACTTATCTACAGGAAACTTATGTGGGTTATCATAACAACACAGAGTACATTTAATTAATCACACTTCCTTTGATATAAATGCCCATCTATGGTCACAGAGAGAGCTGAACTGAATGGATACTAATTTTATGACCAATAAGAACAGCCTAGACATTAATGTTATACAACAGAAAGCCTTGATGAGTTGAATGAAAATATTTTACAAAAGTAAATAATATATTCACTTATTTTATTAGGAAATTTAAGGTTTATTAATTATTGAATGTTAAATTCAAATACTTCTGTGTAGTCACTTTTCACATTGTATCTAAGATTCAAAATATACAAGATTTTAATCATTCTCTGTATTTATGAAATAAGAAAACAATTTACTTACTTCTGGATACCCTCACAAGCTCTGATACATTGAAGACTCCGGATTTTACAAAACTGTCCTCAAGGTATCCTGAAAACAAACACCAAAGGGAAAATATCAGCACAAGTGGGGAGTAAAAGTGCCAGTTACATTCTAGAATTTGTTCATTTTGAGACGAGAACAAAAGCCAAGGACGCTTATTCAAAAGACAGCATACAGGGGCTGAATATAGACTGTCTGTTTTCAAAGGGAAGAAGCAAAAATGTCATAAATAACCCATGGAATTTCCTATTAACTTTCTAAGTTTGTAATTGGTAGGATCGGATTTGCCATGGCAGTTATATGGAGAAGGAAGGTTGGGACACACTTTAAGGCATCTCACTCTGCAACACCTGGAAGGCCACAGTCTACCATCTAAAAAAAGGACGGGCGGGAGATAGAAAGAAAAAGGAAAACCACAACCACAATTAGCACCTTATTGGAAATGCTTCAAAGATCTCTCAAAACCACTGCTCTTTCACAAATCCTTCCCTGACCAAAGAAAAGTGAGCTGTTGCTACCAGAATTGCCAGCCTTGTTCCAGGGTCACTCAGCAGAAAATCAAAACCTGGGACATAGTGAAACCCCCTATGCACCAAACTCAATCTATAAACCTTCTGTTTTCTTTGCCCACTTTTAATGTTTTCCTTATTCTTCCTACTACTGGATACCCTTCCCCACCTTTTTGTTTTCAAGAACTAGATGTTTATTCAATAAATGACAGTGAATCCAGGACTTCAGAGTCACATATAAACACAGAGTCCACAGTGGTCACAGTCCATAGTTCAGGATCTGGAGGAAACCCTAGCTCATTGCACAGTGTCCAGAAGTTTTAAAATTATTTCTAGCAAGAGTGTAGTCACACAAAGCATGAAAGTCTGAAATGCTCACAAAGGAAATACTTCCAGAGCAACACCCAGAGTCTCAGAACCCATGACTAGATTGGATTTCACACGAAGCTTTATCGCTGGCCAAGGGTCAGATTCAGTACAGGGAGCTGACACATGGGTGGTGAGCCACACAGAACCATCAAGTCAAAGATCTGGGAGGCAAGTCCTAGCCACCTTTTGCCAGTTAAGGGATGTTGGCCATGTAAGGGTGCACCTTACTTTGGTCCTTGTCTACATATGAGAGAGAGAAAAGTCAACTGTCTCAGAGTTATTATCAATACAATGTAAGGTAAAACACTCAACTCATGGTAGAAGCAAACAGGGTGGGGTGAGACCCTGTCCCCAAACAGTGGTTACCACTACTTAGATGTGAGCACTATATTCACATCCAGCAGAGCCAATACCTGAACACTGAACTGTGTACAAACAGCCTCAAATCATGTAAGCTGTAAATTTTTACTTAGAAAATTCAGCCACCCAGAATGCCTAAGAGGGAATGGCTGCAGAAGCATGGGGATGGGGGGTGCGGTGTGGGGGGTGGGGGGGTGAGGACGCACACATGTGGGAGCATAGCTTTACATTCAACCTGTTCACCCTTTAGAAAGCACAGAAAGGAAGCATGTCTCATTTGATGATAAAGGCTAAGTCTCAAATTTAGTCACTACTCTGGAAAAAGAATCTATTTCTATGAGAATAACAAAGTGTCCCTAGCTGATGCACTTCTATTTTAGGAAACTGCTTGAGCAATGAGTTCTTCACTAGGTTGAATTTGTTTCAGAGATTACTGAGAAATGTCTGTGCAACCAGTACTCTATAAGGTGTTAAAAGTCATAAATGCAAAAACGGAAAATTGATTCCATTTGCCTAGATGGGAACAGAGATGCTTTAATGTTCTAGGCCCCTGTAGGTTTTGCTATTTTGTTGGCTTTAAAGACTAGCTTATTAAAATTTACTTTATAGACAGTAACATATTTAATATGTCAAGCAGACACTCATCAGTTATTTAGCATCTATGAAGCCCATACACTGTATTATTTTGCAGCTCCTGCCTGGAGGGCGCCTCTCTGTACGTGCTGCCTTCAACCCTCAATGTTCTAATGAATGATGACATGTTCTGAAAAACCGTCCCCCCACCCCACCCTATTTCCTTTGACTCTCTCTGGCCATACATAACCTCTATCCTCTGTGCTCACATCACACCTACTTAGTCCTAATTTTACACTTTACACCATTCAGATTTTCCAAGATATTTATTTTCAAGTATTAAATTCTTTGTTGGATTATCGGTTCCTTTATTTAGGGGAGTGACTAGGTTTTGCTTTTCACTGTATCTCCCTCAGCAACTGACTCATTGCCTATATATAGAGCAACTACTAAATGAACATAGTACAGCATTTTAAAATTCAGCTTTTAAAAACCAAGGTCATAAATTAACAGCTTAGTAATCTTATAACGAGATAGCTATAGCTGGCATAAAATCCACAGGTAACTGCACTGGCTCCATCACTCCCTTGAACTGCAGCACATGGGTCCCAAAATAACTATGAATGTGGCCCAATTCATTTGTAGATGACATGTTACAATGTCAAAAGTTTGGACTCATAATATAATAGGAAAAGTAACAATTAGGATCAAATTATAGTCTTGGTGCTGTTGTATTTTAATGTGTAACTTTGGGTATATAGTACAAATTAATGACCAAAGAATTCAAGTAGGAACATACTAATGCTTGCAAAATAAATTTATGAAAGAGGGCCACTGAAATGGCTCAGTAGATAAAGTCATATGTCCCCAAGCCTGACAACCTGAGTCTTAACCCTAGAACCCACAGAGTGGAATGAGAGAACTCTCCCAAGTTGTCCTCTAACCTTGATAAGGGTGTGTGTGTGTGTGTGTGTGTGTGTGTGTGTGTGTGTGTGTATGCACTTGTGTGTATGTATGCACACACCAATATTTAAAATCAATGAATAAGAGAATAAGTGTTTTACAGTAAATTTACATGAATTATATCACATGCAATACACAATATCTCAAAATATAGGTACCATCTTAAGTTGACTTCATCATAACCATGAGTAGTTAAAGCTCTACATGCTTCTTTGTGACAGGGATTGAGACAGGTGGTATGGGGACACTCTGAGCCTAATCACAAGGGAGGGATGAACCACCTCAAGACTAATCTTATGCAGGAAGATAGGCAAACACAAAACAATGATGATTCCACAGTGATAAGAAACTGAAATCTATAAGGAAAAATGAGAGATTTGTTTTTACCTAAACTATAAAAAAGAATGAAAATAAATCAGAACCCAATTCTTAAAATGTAACCCCACAAGATCCACTGGACTCTATTCCTGTGTAGCTCATAGAGAGATCCAAGTGAAGGGAACATTGCCAAACAGCAGTAGTAATGCCTACTGACAATAAGCTGATGGTGGAAAGCAGGTGATGGGTAGCTGGGTTTTGTAGTAGAACTTTCTGTTTTGTGCATACAGCACAACCTGTGTAATGAACAAGTCACCTAAGACAGACATAGAAAAGAATAGATGACATAGCTCTTTGACAACTAATAGTGCTTGCTCAAGTAGACAGAAGACAAATACTTGGGCAAATAATTGGGAAGGATCTTTCTCACAGTGGATCCAGAACCCTGCAGAAATTAGAGCCAGAGATTCAGCAACATACCTTGGTACTACTGAGGCCAGAAAATACATTGTAGCCTCCCTGCCATGGAGACTTAAAGAAGCACAGTTTCACATGTTACACAGTCCACTGTAAATCTCTACAGCTAATGAAAAGGCCAGATATCTTCAAGTAATTTGGAGAGATTCAGAGTAAACTCACTTCATGTACCAAAGGAAATGTGCCCGTTTTTGAGGCATAGCAGCTGCTTAATGGTTATAGAGCAATATTACACAACAGCGCAAGCCAGGAGAAAAGAACAACTCCAAATTTGTGGAATGCTGTATTTACATACATCTATGCTCTTTAAGAAAAAAAATTGAGTGGGAAATAAAGAGCTTCACAAACAGAAAAGTCTCAAAGGCAATATCAAATTATATTATTTTACTTCTTTTTTATTTTTCTCAAACAAAACAACAGTAAATCACTACTCAGAAGTTAATATAGTGTTTAACCTCCTTTACAAACAATAACAGAAGGGACACAATGGCATATCTGTTAATATCTCAAATTATAATCAGCACCATTTAAATGTTAAGCAACATTTACATAGAAAATCTAAGGGAAGAATGATAACACTCATTTTTATGGTCTACTGTGTTCTATTCTCGAAATTAAAAAAAAAGCCACAGGGAAAGCAGTTATTAAATTCATGAGAGCTAGCTTCAAGCATTTGAAGGACTGTTAATGTAGATGGTAGATTAGACTTATTCTGAATAATTCCAGGAGCTGTTTCTTGGCTCCATAAACAAACAGATCAGCCATCCAATGAGAGAAGTCCTAAAAAGCAACATGAGTCTGCAGTGTTAATATTAACCAGCAGATGCCCAAGGACTATGCTAAAAAACCTTCGAAACCACAACATGGCCAGAGTTGTGACTTAGCATTGCCACCATTTCAGGGATGAGGAACCTCTCTGTCCAGAGGCGGAAAGCTTCCTGTTGGGTCTGAACTCTATCACTGGATGTGAGAATTCTCACTTTGGGTTAAAAATAAAAAGAAACAAATAAAAACCTGCCAAAAGGCCCTCTGAAGCCCCTCAGATGCCACCTTCTTCTGTGTTGATTCCCCTATATTGCTTTTCTTGTGCTCTTGTTTCAAAGAAGGAATGATGGCACAAGACACCTACCAGGTACCACCTAGCCTTTGATTCTAATAGTTTGCTTCTGTCAACAGAATGAGATGACTTACCTCTCCACTATGGGTGCCAAGGGGAGATGAGGAAATTAGCCCACACCAGCTCTTAGCCAATCTCACAACAGACATCACAGACACACTAAGCCATTGCTACTTTTCTAGTAGGAGTGTTATGTACACCGCTCCACTTTCAGCCTCCTGGAGTTGATCAGATCCACGGTTGAAGCCAAAATGGGTAATATGTCTCTGCATGGAGACTAGGTCTCAATCGTAGTCATGAAAGATTCTAACATCAAAAAGCAGTTTTGTCTTTCAATACAAAATTTAAGTCCTTGATAGCAA